GTGGCAAGGGAAATAAGTATGTATGGAGGACGGTTCAGGGGAACCAGGTCATTGTAGGGTTACTGGAAGCATGTTGCAGTGGACGTAGGCACTCTGGAATTAGGCTCTGAGAGGATATTGGTTGGTGGTTTGCAGTTCAAAGGACGGTTCGACGCCGGGAGTGCGCGTATTCATGTTTGGAGATATCGTTTTTTTTTAAGGGCTCGTACTTAAGGTTTCATTATCGGTCCGTTCAGTGGTGGTGATTCCGGGCGACGTGTGCAGCATGCTTTGTTCTTGTATGGTTGCTCTCGTTCGATGCCCCAGGCCGGTGGCACGTCGTAAGTCGGGCAAAATAAATAGCCGTGTCTTGGTCTCGGCTAAGATTCATATGATATATAAGTCCTGATAACTCAGGCGGGAAACCGGTGGGGTGCGACGGAGCATTCACGATGAGTGTACAGGCCGTCGCACCACCTGGCTTTGGGGAGGTGCCAGAACGGTGCCTTTCAGATCTTATATCTCCCCAATGACCAGTTCAGAGGGACACAGAAAGCGTTGCTCGATTACGGGAGGTTCTCATGCATGAATGTTCGATTCAGGGTGTGAGTTTTCCCCGGTATTGCGTGAGGGCACAGCGTCTCACGAACGTGGATTGTCGCGGAGAGAGCCACCGTACGGGATTGTTCACCCGTTCGTCAAGATTTCGGCCGCCGGAGTGGTTCTAAAGCGAGGGTCGATCGGCATGGATCGGTATACCCCTCAGGCAGGAAGCATCCCACCCGCCTCTAACTCCCCACTCCGGTGATAAAAAGTTAGGATGTATCCGGCGTGTCCTGCCGAACGGAGTCCACCGCAGGAACCCGCTCTCAGCAGGTCACGAGAACGGAATTGGGTAGGACCTGGTCACGCTGCTAATTATTGCGCAGGTATAGCGCGGGAAGGCATTCAGGGAGGTACAGGAAGGATATTGCGCCTGGAGGGCGCGGGAAACCGGCTTGAGTTCCGGGGCCGACCAGGTAACATTATATACCACGCGTGCGAACCATGTGAGTGTTGCGAACCGACACTGGCCATGTCGTGAACAGCCACGTAGCCATGGGCGCGCGTTGGTCATTCCGAGTAGGGTCTGCGACGGCAGTTTAGGGAGGGGACGGCCGGGATATCGGGGTCCAGGGAAGGGCGGTAACCCGAAGGCCGTGTAGACTGTAGAGGCTCGGGTGGCGTCCCGAGGGGGGGGGGAGACTAGCGTATCAGAAAGATGCAATATTATTGTCTCAAGATCCTGGAAGAGGGAGGGCTCCAGAAAGGTGCACTAAGTACTCCCTCCGGCCAGATGCGGGGTAGTGGCAGATAGGTCCGGCTGCTCCAAGACCCCTGGGCGGGAAGGGACCCGGGGGGTGTGGGAAGATGGAATACCCCACGGGCGTGGTTTGGCGCGGTAAGGGCACCACGGGGCGAAGTAGCTGAGTCGTCGTTAAATTTCGGCCACCCGGAGTGATTCGGAAGGAGGGTTGGACCCTCTACAAAGCAGGGAAATCCGGCCTGCATTAAAATCTCACTCCGGCAAAAAGGATAGGTTACGTCCCTCATAGAACCCACGGTGTAGTGTTACCTGCGGAACCTAACTGACAGTTTTATGACCCGGGGGATAGGTAGGGCACGGCCGCGCCACCGGCGACGTGCGGGTTAGGCCCATCACATGCCGGCACTAAGACGGCGGTGGCACTCGTTTACATCGTGCCACCACGCACCCTTGGTCCGTCTCGCGTCGGTCATGTGACTGTGGCGTTTAATGTAAGGGTTTTAGGCCTCCGCAGGCGTGTGCACTGGTCAGTGACGGAGACGGGAATGACCAGCCAAGACGGATGATGCCAGTGTGCGTCAGACATATGCCACCACTGAACGAGACATGGATTAGATTAATTGGTTGGGTAGTGGAAGCTATGGGATTTTAAGGAGTTTTTTTTGGGGGGGAAGGTTTTTAGACGCTCGGCGAGACGTAATTGTGTTGCAGTGACCTGAGCAGCTTTGGGACCAGTTTTCTTTTGTCATGTTCGGCGATGTCATGGGTCTAACATTTAGTATGCTTACATTTAACGAGCTTCTGTACACCACTGGGGGGAAGTTAGGAAATTAGGGAGGGATCAGACTGGAAATCTGACATTTTATCTGTGTGCAAGGGATGTGAATGAGAGCATGGGTGAAGGATGATTGTGTGGAAGCATGAATGTATTATATCCAGTGGGAGTTATCCGCCTCTGTGCAGTTGCCGTAATGTCAAGCGTGTTCTGATGTTACACCGTAAAAAAATAGGTTTAATGGGGGGTCCCAACCGGGTTGAGAGAGAGCCTCGGGCAGTCAACCTGATTAAATTATCCTCTTGAATGCCCATAACCCAATGACCCATCACCGTACAGTGTAGCAGCCTATATGCCCCAGTGACTGACCAGCCTCGCAACCAAATAAACAAATAATTGTCTTGCAGCTGAGCCCCGCTACATTACCTATAGCTGATCACATCACAGCTATTCCTTAGTTCCATCTCAGTGCGCTGCGGTGTTTGAAAGGAATCATCTAGAACGAACGGGAGTTCTGACTGTGGGACGACGGTGGCTGTCCCTGGGCGGCAGCCGGCCGGCTCACACAGAGCTGCTCACACCTCACCGTCGCCCTAATATGCGTCCGAGAGCCACTCCGCAGAGAAAACACCACCAGCCGCTAACTTTACCGCCAGCCTAATGGCGTCCAGAGAAATGAAAACGTCTCATTCAAGTGCACATGGCCAAACGCTCTGAAATCACAGGGTCACCAGTTGAGCATAATACCAGTGGCCGAAACATAACTGTCTACTATCAACGGCGGCTCATATGGCGCCAACGGCCGAGGTCAGCGGGCACAATGTCATCGGACGGCCGACTGTGCTCATTATGTCCGGATGGGGCTCACACACACACAGACACTCTGGGCAGTCCAATAAGACGGCGTCGCAACTGGGACCCATAAGGCGAGATTCCTACTTGGCACCGCGGAAATATCACCCATCTTGCCATAAATAATGGCCAGTCGTCATACAATCCACCCCATGGCTGGATCGGTCCGAAAATAGCCCAACAACTCAGTGCAGTGCGTCCTGGCGAGCCAATTGAAATGTGGGCATAAGTTACCATTCCGTACGTGCACCCAGCGGCCCATCTACTGCCTCGAGGGCCGGTGCCGGCTGACCACGGGCCAACAGTGGAGATGCTGCCACTGCACTGTACTGCGGCCTCAGACAACTGGACTGCAGGCTAAAAACAAGCTATTAGTTGGAGACTGATTGTTGAGACTGACGATAAATCTTATTCCACGATAAAATCCTCAGAATGCAAATGCCATGCTGTTGAGACACATATAGTGGACACTTGAGGTGGTGCCATGCATTCGTAGTTGTATCAGAAAAGAAATGTCAACATTGAAAAAGATGTGCAGATTTATGTCTCATGGTGGAAAACAGTGAACAGTGTCCCGAAGTCATACACCGACTTAGCCGTATTGCAGGATATGCAGGATATCTTGAGGCCCGATAACGTCCATCGATTATAACGTTCTTTCTACTAAAAAGGAAAAATAGTCTAGTGGTACCTTAGTGCAAAGTAGAAGTGACAGAAAAGGAATATATCTTTATGTTTCTGGAATAACATTCGATTAAATTTTACAACAGCTAAAATGTAAATTATGATATCATAAATAAAACAATGATAAAAAGCTTCTGACAGAATTCGAGGCATTGGCCATCAGCCGGTTAAGTTGAAAACGAAGCATAACGTTGCCAGCAAAATAGCAAAATAACTTATTAAAATGACATTGCTATTCAATAATCCATGAGGGACATACAAAGTCTTAGGTCTTGTAAATATCGCATCGATTTCTCTGACGGTGTAAGCCAGATGTCGAAAACAGAATGTGACGCCTTTCACTCCGATAAATTGAAGCTGCCACCCGGCCAAAGTTCGTTTGCGAATCTGAACTTTGCGACTGTCGACGCTCGCCATTTGCGAGTGGCAGAGCCGTTTCAAGGCGGGTCGGAAAAACGGTCGTCTCTGGCAGTCATCAAGGGTTTTGTTCCACTGTTTGGCACATTGGAGAACAGCGGCTGCCGAAAGACGGAGCGCCGAGGTCGGCGGGCGCATTTCATCAGTCCCTGAGACTGAGGGTCTGCTGTCGGAGCCGAAAATACACGGCCTCAGCGATCAGAGAGGCGCCTCCGCAGACCGGGTAAAGGACTGTCAGTCTGACCTCTGCACCGAGGAGGGGGACGGTAGGTACCGGGGGGGGGGGGGGGGCAGCTCGGATACATGACCGATCAGATATACGTCCGTCGGACTGGACCATCAGACGGCACCGAGATGGATGAGTGGAGCGCAATATGAGGCAGGCTGATATGGCGAAATGGCTCCAATTAGGTTTGAGTCCGATTATTTGAAGTAACATACCTTAATAACTATGAAAATACGGCCGGATTCGACAAAAAGTATAAAAACCCGGAACTTGAACACACTAGATGAAGAGCCGATATTAGTCATCCAGTACTCAGTCAAATCCCTCACATTTGTTCCTATAAATCCAACCGCACGTCAGCATCCCAGCGTCTGCACACAATACGTGACGCGGGGTCCGTTCGGGTCGGACCGAGGAATGCTCCATCGCGGCGCTCCCCGGCCCATTTCTGTTGAACGGCTCGGCTGAGTGACCGCTGATGGTACCATCAGCGCCGTCGATCACACCGTTCCCTCTGACGGCCGGCGGCGTCCCATAGCCACCCAATGACCCCCCGTTCCGGGGTCCGCCTCAAATCCAGCCACCTCAGACCAGCGCCGGCCCCACGCCTGTCACTCCCCACCCAGCCTGGACGCAGTGACTTCAGGAGATCCATTCCAGCACCATGACTTCAGCTAGGCTCTAGTGACCGCATCCACGACCCTGCTGACCAGCCGACCCCACAGACGACCTCACTGGCGACCTCGGTACTCGGTACTCACCTCCAGGTCGGCGCCGGCCAGGATGGCCAGCCGCAGGTCACAGTCCTGCAGGTTGGCGTTCTTCAGGGTGGCCACGCGCAGGTTAATGGAAGACATGTTACTGCCCGTCAGAATGGCTCCCTTCATATTGGCGCCTGGCGACAGCACATAATGTCGCATGTAAGGGGAGGGTCATAATGACATCAAATTTTAACAACCGGTTACAAAACAGAGGAAAACACTGCGCCATGAAATTATACCCTCACGGCCAAATGGCTCTTTAGAAATACACAATTAGAGGCGCACGTCATAGCTACCGCACAACTCAACGTCAATTCACTGTTACAATAATCAAAACAGAAAACGGGAGCCCGTCTGAGCGCCTCACCCTCCAGATTGGCGCGCGTGCCGCCGGGGTCCTCGAAGTTGCACGAGCGCATACAGGTGAGCTCCAGGTTGGCGCAGAGCATGCGCACGCACGAGAGCTGCGCAGAGTCCATGCGCGCGCCGGACAGGTCGGCCCGCTCCAGGCAGCAGCCCGTCATGTTACAGCTGTTCAGGTTGCAGTCCCGCAGACACGCATACTTGAAGTTGATGTTGCGCAGGTCCAGCTTGGACAGGTCGGCTCCGGTGAAGTCGACGCCCTGGAAGCGCAGGCTGGCCTCGCTGGGCGTGCTGAGCAGCGCGCGCACCACCTCGCGCCGGGTGAGCGGCGCGTGATCGGCGCTGGGCGGCGACTGCGGCGCGCCGGCCACCATCGCCTCCAGCCGGCTCAGCAGCGAGTCGATGCCAAAGTAGCGCGCCTCTTCCAGCACACCTGTGGCCAGAGGCGCAGCTCAGGGCACCGCGGGAGTCCGGGACTCGGGGCCCCGTGAGACTATGGGCACCGCGGGAGCTCTGGGCACGGCGGAGCTCTGGGCACCGCGGGAGCTCTGGGCACGGCGGAGCTCTGGGCACCGCGGGAGCTCTGGGCACGGCGGAGCTCTGGGCACGGCGGAGCTCTGGGCACGGCGGAGCTCTGGGCACCGCGGGAGCTCTGGGCACGGCGGAGCTCTGGGCACCGCGGGAGCTCTGGGCACGGCGGAGCTCTGGGGAACGGTGGGGCTCAGATGGCGAGGCTCAGCAAAATGGCATGGGCACAGCAGGGGTTCAGCAGTCGGCGATAGTGTTCAGAGATGCAGATTGCTTCCACCTGGGACACAGGATAGACTGGAACTATGTTCAGTTTTGCCTGCAATGTTGAGAGATTCGCCTCATGCGAGGATAATCTGCACAGCATTATCACATATAAAACACACGAATCAATGCATTTGTATCATACACGAATATGAGGACCGCCGTCAATAGGTTTTACCTGTGTGTGGCTTTTGAAATAAATGACATTAAAATGAAATAACAGACACGAATTTAGCTCCCGAGCGTGGCCTTCCCACCCGCCTGGCGCGACATCTATCAGCCCTCTCCGCAGCCGACAATCCGAACAGCCCGATAGCCGCTGCCCCCCCCCCCCGACGGTCTCAGTACCCAGTGCCCCCCCCCCCCCGCCGACCGTCCTACCCCGGTCCCCTGACCTGCCGGGTTGACGCCCTGGTCGAGCACCAGCTGCCGGGTGCGCAGGTAGTTGAGCAGCGGCTCGAAGTAGGTGGGACTGCGGTCGATCAGGTAGGCGCCCGAACCGTCCCGGTCACTCGGCCGGAGCCACTCCGTGCCGCCGGAAAACATCCTGAAACGCAACACCGCAAACTCGCGGTCATAAACTCAGAAACAACGGAATATCTGCCGATCCACGACAGATTCAACGGTTACTTGTTTGTGGTGAGGTACGAAGTCATGTAAAACGGTGCATTGCGTTCCACTCTATTATTGTTCGGAGCCCGAGGCATAGAGTAGGTACTCAACCCCAGCGGATGCCCTCAGCGCGGGGAGTTGCGCACTGGTCCCGGTACCGCCGTCCGGTCACTGACCTGGCCAGCATGGAGTGCGGCTCGGCGCCGGTCAGCGTGGCGACGGTGGTGGTAAAGAGCCTGCCTCCCACGTTCAGCGTCACCCATCGGGAGCTGCGCGGTCCGTCCGACGAGCCGGGCTGCAGCGCAGACTCGCAGGAGCGCGCCCCGGCCGGCGCACAGTCATCGTCCCTGTCCAGAGGTCAGGTGAGGTCACCAGAGGCCAGGCGAGGTCACCAGAGGCCAGGTGAGGTCACCAGAGGTCAGTTTGGTGAGGTCACCACAGGTCAGTTTGTGACTGTGGGACACAGATATAACATTGCACCATAGGTGCTGTCATATGAAACAACAAAAAATAATGAAACAATTTTGAATGATGGTACCAAACAATACAAATACGACACTATTAACACTAACCTGACAGCACCAACAATGGTAGTGAGGTCCCCATTTTCTGTGACTGGGGCCTCCACTGGAGACCCAGCAGAACAGGAAGCAGCATCCATTAAACCTTTGAATGATTCATCATCCTCTGTCCTGAAAACAAACGCGTGAAAATCTGATAAAACTGTTGGTCTTGGTGGAATGGTTGGTTGGTTGGTAACTTAATCACGAAAAACAACAGCTTTGTGACTTATAAACATTTCAGTTAAGCTGAAATGATGTTTAGCTGATGGCATTAAGCTTTTGGTACCATACTGTGACGTTCCTTAAAGCCTCTCCCCTCCTAGTAGGGTCAACAGATGAATGTTGAATGGCCAAGTGTATTGTCGAGAAGAAGCAAGTGAGAACTGAGAAGCATGCACCTGAAAACAAGCCATCCGTCAGTACGAGTCATGCGCGCAGGCAAGCGGGACCAGGCGGCAGCGAAATGCCGTCTAGCAGCATTAACCCGGCAGTTGCTGGGGTATTTCGCCACCCACCGTTTGCTGGGGGGGGGGGGGGGGGGGCGTTAAACGCCCCCAGCCGATAACTCGAGAACCAATAGGCGCAGCGAAACGCACGAGGCGGCAAACGAAAGAACGCGACGAGACGCTTCAGATGAGTACTTTAAAGTTGAATTTTGAGGTCACAGGTCGGGTCAAGGTCAGGTCAAACACCTGAAATCGGGCTTTCAGTGGCATGGACTTCAGGACTTCGCAATGAGCGCCTCTCGTCATAAACTCTGTCAAAACGGTGCACAATCCATCATATAAGGCCTACAAGAGTGTCAGCCCCATGTAGGGGTCAGTCAAGCATGGGTCAGGGTCAAGGTCAGGTCAACCGGGTAGGCACATATCACCGAAAATCAAAACTGGTATTCGCAGCCTGTGACACATGTTTTATGGGTAATTTGGGGCGTAGAACACGATGGTGACATTCATTTTATCATATGTGTACGTCTTTGGCTCAAAAAGTTCAATTTAAGGAATGTATGTATCATGGTCGTGAAGTAGTCACGAGAAATTGCCAAGATTCAGATCAAGATTTTGGCAAATGCGGCAAATGCGAAACGATAATCAATAATCGAAGATAGCCATTTGATTGTTCATGGTATTGGCAGTCTAATGCCGTTTACGGCATGTCTCTATGTCTATTCTGTGATTTTATATGATTTTTTTGAACATATGCCGTCTTTGGTCGAAAACTCAGAAATCATGACGTCACTAAAACCTCGATATCTCAAAAATTTTCCGACCGATTGGCGATTTTTTTTTTGAAATTTTGTCACAATAGACTTCAATCAATTCCCTACAGGTACCGATAATTTGGCGCGCCTGCGGCATGCTATGGCCCGGCGAAAAAAGTGGGGGCGTTTAAAGTCCCCCCCCCCCCCCCAGCAACTCGCGGGTTAAGCCCTCGGCCAGATATCCAGTATGCAGAGCGCACGGGAAGAACAGCACACACATGCACGGACAGACACATAGAGCGCACGAATAGGCGGGCACACACACACACATGCACATATCCATATGCAATGAGCATGCATGCTGACATGCAGACAAAGAACACAGAAGACCCATGACAATACTTCAGTCTTCATCTACACCTATACCAAGAAATCAGGTATACCTACTACAAGAAGCATAGATGACAAAACCCAGTATAACCTCACCTAACATCACCCAACATTAGTTCAATTTTACCTGATGACCCCACATGTGGTTGGGTGTGTTGGGTATAACTCATGATGTTTTGTGTGAAAAGCTCGGTATAGTCTCTCTTGAAAGTATCGCGTCAGGGGCTGCAGCGGCTCGGCGAACTATTCCATTCAGTTTGGGGACCCCAGCAGTGAGGTCATGGCCTGTATCATAAAAAGTACGCTGTAACACGATTCTACGCCAGCGGTAGGAGGAAAACTGCTATATGACGCAGGCACCAGCGGCTGACAACTGGGTCAAAACAGGCGGAGGCCGGCCAAAGGTCATGCTCGTATCGCTCTTCCTTGACCCCGTCCCCGGGTCCCCCGCCCCAGGCGGATAGCGGTGCCGCCTGGGCTCACCAGCCGGGCGCTCGTTGGTCTGCCTTAGTGGGCGCCAATCACTCAGTGTGCGTGACGGGAAAATCACATCGAAGCAAAGTTCCGCCATAATCCTACTGTAAAGAGGCCTGCTGAACGACGTCAACAGGTCATGAGGGGAGGGGACAGCCTGGCATCAAATAAGGCTTTTAAAAAGAAGACGGCTGAACAGTTAACATTTTTTGTCGCCTCTCACTAACCGGCTCATTAAAAAGAGAGAACTCCAAATATAGGACTGATTGGCTAGAGAGCGAATTGGCGAATTGGCTAGAGAGAGAGAGAGAACTTTTGCTCATTTTTATCCCGCTCGCGGGTGCGTCTGCAACCACGGATGCATTCTGCTAGCGGGTGCGAGTGCATGCAACCGATGTTTTTTTTTTCGTATTCGGGCACGGGTTTCCGGATTAAATATGTGACAGTCGTGCCGATGACGGCTGACATGACTAACTTTGCGATGAAACAAAGCTCAACAAATCATCTGCGAGCAGATTGGCTTCCGTTGACCACGGACGGCGACTCCCACCTCCCCCTATCCCTCCGCAGTCCGCAACCACTCCCCTCGGCCCGCCGCGCCGGCTGCCTTCGCGTGTCAGGCTTTGGCCAGTGCTACCAGTGGCTCTCAAACCTTTCCGCTCAACCGCAGCTGGGACAGGTGGCACCTTCCCTCAGGGCTCAGAGTCGCGATACTTTCAAGAGACATTATACATTGATATGTATAGATGAAGTACAGTTGGTAAGTTGGTAGGTTGCAGCCCGGCGGAACACCTTCAATAAGGGGGGGGGGGGGGGGCACAGCCGAATTTTGGTCCCATTCTTTCCATGCAACACCCATAGTGCTAATGTTAAAATGCCAAAATCAAAGGGGGGCACAGTGCCCTGGTGCTCTCCCCGTTCGGCCACCTATAGCTGTAGGTTTATATGTTCAAGGCACGTGGTTCAAGGTTGTAGTTCGGTACCTAGGTAAGCACTAAGCATAGATCAATTAGGTAGATTGTTTTTCATTTTAACAGTTCTTCATCTACACATTTACCGATTTCTTGAACATTAAACGCTCATTGGAACAAGTTTCTAGGTTGATTGGTTTGTCACAATATGGTGTGGTTTATATTCAATTTTGATTTTGAGCCTGGGCTTAGCAGGGCTGCGGAGTCGGAGTCGGAGTTGCAGTCGGTCAGAGTAGACAGTTCTGCCCGGAGTCGGAGTCGCAAAAATCTTACCGACTCCGACTCATGAGTCGAAGTTAACCCGCGACCTGGTGGGGGGGGGGGGCTATTTTTTGCCCCCCCCCCCTCCAGACTTTTCGATATATCTCCAGAACCACTGCGCCGATCGTCACCAAACTTTCAGTACCCTCCCGGACATCAATTTTACACATTGTGACCAAAAATTTTTCCAAAGGCTATGATAGGTTGGCCGGAAATGACGTCAGAGTGACGTCATGTTCTGCCGTTTTCGACCCAAAAAAGGGTTTCGCGGGAAGAGCTGTCAGGCCTATAGCTTTGCAAATACAGAAAAATGATACAGACATAAAAGCTGTAGAATGGACAGGGCTACAAAACTGCTATCTCGGATATTTTTAAATTTTTGGATTTTGACCCCCAAAAATAAAAAAATAGATTTTTTGAATATAATAGCCGAAAAATCAAAAAAGTTTTTTGAATTTCGAAAAAACCGAAATATATGTGATAGTCCCTACCGCCTTCTATCTACATACCAAATTTGAGATCGATACCTCTTTTTTTGGCCAAGTTATAGCGAAAAAACTGTTCAAAATTGATGACGTCAAATTTTCAAACTCAATTTTCAGCAATTCTAGACCTCGTAGCGCAAAACAAAGACTACCATTAGACTCCCCGTGACGAGCTGCATCGAATCAATACCCATTTTATGCAAAAATATCAATTTTGAAATTTGACCTTTTTTGACCTGACCTTGACCTGACCTCCACCAGAAAGTGACCTAAACCGTACCTGATGGTCTTATAACCAACACCATTGAGTTGGAAATGAAAAACTGGCCATAAAACATGCATCGCACAACCTTAGTAAAGTTGGGTTCATGTGGCGACCCTTGGTGACCTGACCTGTGACCTGACCTGGTATGACCAGTGAACTCTAACAGCAACATATCTACTAGGCAACTGACGCCCTATCGCTTATTCTCGACAAAATGCGTTTTCCTCGGTGTTATAGCGCATTCCCTAGAAGACCCGTGAACGGTGAAACATTTCATCTTTGACCTGACCTGTGACGTCATCGGTGACCCCGAGGTCAATAAAATTTAGTTTCCTTCGACAAATTTGACAGGCCTTTCGAACGCCGTTTGAATTTTGCGGATCCGTTTAGTAGTTTCGGAGATACGAGGGGGGGCAAAAAATAGCCCCCCCCCCCCACCAGGTCGCGTTATAAACAGACCCCACCAGGGCGCGGGTTAATGCTGCATGGCTCAACATCAATTTGATTTCACGTTGAGCACCTGTTTGATTGACGATACTGCACTAGAAATTAGATTTTGTCAAAAAAACACCATTTTGTCATTTTGGACGAACGTTTTTAGCGAAAGAAGCAGAAGACGGTGAAGTCCCCAGAGCCTGCTTCTTAATTCTGCACGCTATTTTTAATGCATAATTGCAACGCATAGCCTTGGAATGCACAAGGGATGGTTTCAGGCAAGATAAAACCATAGATAAAACATCTCCGTTATTGTTATACCCAAGGTTATACCTACTTCCCTGCACTTCCCTGCGTATTTTTCCATTGATTGTAACAGCTGCGCCAGGTATGTATATTTTTCTAGGCCATTGACCTCTATAGTTACTGCGTATTTACAAATTGCAACCGAGCTCCGCCGTAGGGTATTTTATTTCCGCCGTAGTGTATTTCACTTGGGGATTTTCTACCATACATCTGCCTGAGCTTAGGGTAATTACAATTTGTCGGCGACGTTAAAAAATGATGCACTTTTTTCGCAGTATAGGATATCGCATGCGCATATTTCTGCCTTTTTGGGTGCGCTTTATCGGTTTTTTCGTGAGTAACTCGCGTAAAAACCGTCCGATCGCGACGAAAATTTCAATGCCCCGATTTTATCAATTTTACACCTACCCTGAAAATTTCATGACCCTGACTCAAATGACCTTTGACTTGTGACCTATTTCTCGAGACCATGTTTGGCCCGAATCGCGATTCGTCGTATGTCGGCTCGCATTAGCCGCGCGGTTGCAGTCTTCACGTGGTTTCAAGCCAGTGTTCGCCACGGGCCGGGCCAGCCCAACGGGCCATGGGCCGGGCTGGGCTACGGGCTGGGCCGGGCCCCCAAATATCATTAGTTAACGGGCTATGGACGGGCCGGGCCAAGAGCTTTGTGCACTATGGGTTTTGCTACTAATGTCAATTTAAGAAAATTTGGAAACTGATGCAAACAAAACCCACTGGGAAAATACAAAAACTAAACCAAATTTAAGCAATGTGAAAGAAAACCTACTTGATATTGAATTTTGGGAATCTTGAGAATTATCCAATATCACATCATGTCACACATAGGAGGGTTTTCATACAAATTCCGCAACCAAAAAGATCAGAGAATCTCTAGCATCATTAGTTTGTTAATAAAAGTTAAAATGTAGTCATCAGAATAACTTACTTAGCACTAAAACTCCAAAAACTAAGAAGCCACTCAACCATGATGGGCTACAGGGCTACATTAAGTTTAACACTTATATATGGCGATAGTGAGACAATTCCAACACAGTCTTTTTTTCCTTCACCGACGGCTTTTTAACGAACAGAACCTTAAAAGGATACTCACAAAACACACTGTACGTAACGAGGAACTCTACAGAGTATTTCGCGATGAAAGCTTCTTTAAATGTCCATAAATTTGTCAAAATAAATCATAACAAACCAGCGCCTTCTCAACAAAACTTGCAATCATGGCGGCGGCGCTATGTTTATGTGGCGGCATCTACAGGTAGTATACACAACAGTATATCAAATAAATACGTTTTTTAAGTAAGGGTCAAGGTGAAAAACAAAATCAAACAAATAAAAAATAAAACCTAAATCACGAAGTCTGAAAACTCGAACGAAAAACAAAACAAAAACTTGATCATATATGTTTTATTATACAGTTGGTCAGGATCGCTACCTGCCGCAGCTGCGACAATCAAGAAGTGTTCGCTTATTTTCGATTGATGATGATGATGCGTAAAAGTCGCAAAAGTACCCAATGACATTTCAAGCTTACCATGTTTTCTGCTTACGCTGCTAGCGATATCCATATCTTGAAAAGAGCCTAGCATAAAATAGCAAGGAAAGTAGCAGATAGTTGTCCACAGAGATTCGGTTGACACGTGGGCATGAATTGAAAATAGATTAAATCAGTTTTGCTGATAAATGGATGGATTTTCTCTTTTTTTGGAAGACAGTGCTAAAGTGAGTGTCACCTATTTTGTATGCTTTCTCAGGCTTTTGATATTGCAGCATCCAGGGGGCGTCGAAGTCTAGTTCCTACCAACCTGGCACTCCCATGCCTACGTCACCACGAGGACGCCCGAGGGCATTTACGTGTTGAAGATAGGGAAATTGCCATAGTTTAGAGCCGCCTGGAGGGCAACCTTGAGATAGATGATAATGTAAATGTGTGCTAATATGATCATCAACATGTTATTTATCCAAATCCAGGGCCAATTAATCGATATCTTGTCACGTTTTCCAGTGGTGATGCGCTAACTTTCGTGGTTCTTGCAGCCAATAAGGGTGTTTCATAGTGCGATTCAGCCGCATTATCGACTTTAATGCCATAAACCGCCACGGAACATATGATTTGCAGCTCCCTGGCGTGATAGCTGCCAGTAGGGCTCCGGAGTCGGAGTCATGGAGTCGGTCGGAGTTGACAGTTCTGACCTGAGTCGTCGAGTCGGAGTCAGAGTCGATTTTAAAAGCTGGAGTCTGAGTCAGTCACCGAAATTCGATCCCCTCCGCAGACCTTTCAGGGTTCCGTACTCCGTAGTCGGAGTTGTGGTCGGTCGGAGTCGACAGTTCTGACCAGAGTCAGAGTCAGAGTCGATTTTGAAAGCCAGAGTCGGAGTCGGAGTCACCAAAAATCCATTGCCTCTGCAGACCT